CTCAAACTTTATACGAAGAGTTTTCCGTCTCTCAATCAATGATGTACGTAAATACAGTATAGTATGGATATTCATCAATGAAAAAAACTGAAAATACTAAGTATGTAGTGTACAGTTGCAAACTTGTGGTAAATTAATTGTTTTGAACCAATTATAAATGTAAACAGTTTATATATTGTACCAAAACATAAGTCAGGTATAGAAACTACTAAGATTTAGTGCATTTCAATTTTGCAATTTGTATTATTTTGTTCTATAATTACAGTGTATAAATATTATAGGGTTAGAGATCTTTATTTTCCAAAAAAGACACAAAGTCACTTACATGGAAACAAAAAATTCAAGTACTATTAGATGTTGTTCTCAAGATATACTTACATAACGAGTTGTTTATTTATTATTATAGTACATTTTTCATAAAAAGATCTGCAAGTGTGTGATGTCTTGTATGTTTTCATTGTTTCCTGTTATCGGCTCGTTACAACATTAATCAAACTATTTGTTCCACCAAACAATTTTATTATATTAAATTACGGGAACATTTCTCGAACACATTTTGATATAATTTTTTTAATGATACTCCAACGTAATAAAGATAACAAATTACGTTCAAACTGTATGTTGTTCTGTGTGAATGTACGTTTTATTGCGATTTACATGATACAAGCATCGGGCTGGTTCTGTGTGATGACGAGATAAGCGGAGTCGGGCGAGGGTTCAGTATGTCCGGGCGTGTTTTCCTTCACAAATATGTACGAGCGAGATGCTGCGATAATCCTTATTTATTCGTCCTACCCGCTCTCCTAATGAGACGCGATCCTCTCAGTTTAATACTATTTATTTAAGGATGAACGTACGGATTCTGTTAATGGTCCCGCCAGCATCACGCGGACGGCGGAGGGCTCAATCCTCCGGGTACAGTTACATTCCTATAATAACAAACTTATGTTATGTTTGTGTAAGCTTTTAGTCTCAGTAACATGATCGTGTTCCAAGTTTGTGGTATGTGCGCGGACTTTGTTTACGACTAGGCCTTTAGTAGGTATTTTCATCTTGTACCTTGAAATGTGTCGGCTTTTTAATGAAAAACTTGGAAGTATTTTTACACAGCGAGGGTCTCTAACTGTTCACGGACACGTTTTAACAAAATGATATATGTCCTCATTATGCGTGCGAGTGCAGTTTTTTGGTCGTCTGTTAAATTACAGCACCATCGCCGGCAATTTGTCCGTACGTGCGAAGGGAATGCCTTCCCTAATTGCATCCCGCGCTCCCTGCGCCGACGCCTGTGCTCGATCGTTTCTCTGAAATCATATTTTAGTATTTCTCTCCGCACGCACTAATTGAGGGATGGCATCCGCCGTGATTGGAACAAGATATAACATTTCCGTTTAGGGATCATTGTGTAGTAGTTTGATTTTCCGTAGTCGGCATGAAAATAGTCGCCGACACCGCGGATTGACTCTGAATGGCGAGTAACAAGCCGCTCTGGGCTCTGGTTAGCTCGTTCGGTACATGTTGTTTTTTGTCGGTCGCCTTGCAAACGAAATTATGCCTCGTTCGGCGCCGCCACGCCGTATTCATTCCTCTTTTTTTCCTCGTCCGCGTTCGATTTTATTATTTTTCTTTAACACCTGCGTCCAGTAATCTGTATACTGAGATCTCCCGAACGCTTAACTCTTTTTGGTTTTGTTGTTTTTTTCCCTGTCTTGCTCGATCACGATCAATTTATAGCGTCCACCGAAAACTGTCGTTTAATTTTAAGCGGTGCCCCGTTGACAATCGATTAAGTTCGCCCTCGATTGAATTCCTGGTGTGGCTCGCTTTATTCTGTGAGAGTTTTTGTTGAATGTTCCTCCTCGAGTCTATATTTATTGTGTACGCGCGAGTGTCGTACGAATCGTTTATTAATTAGTGATATGTAATAATTTGCTACATTCGTAATCTCGTTTGGGCGCGGGGGCAGCCGGGCGCCGGCGCTGTCTGACCTTGTTATTTAGTCACACTAGCTCCTCAACTGTACACTATGTTCTTATGATAAACAACAATATTGTATACAACACTAACTTACCAAATTATAACACTTATATTTTTTTGGAAACTTGGACGAACGATGAAGTTTGGAATGTTGTTCTTTTTAATATAATTTGCTGTGGTTATAAATTAACTGTTTTCTCACATGGACGTAATTAGTTACATCATATCAGGATATTTTTTACACGACTTCCTTTTATTTTGTTCTGCTGTAACCCTTCGAAATTACTTAACGGATTTTTATAATTTCTTTAAGACTTTCCTTACTTTCAAACGATTTATATATAATTAAATTTCTCCTCGAGCAAAGTCATGTGCTAAAGTTACTTAGCGTGAACGGGCTTATTTCCTTAAGGACGTTAATTGTGGGATCCCAAATAAGGGAAATGATGATCTTACTCTTTGTGGTGCCATATAAGGATGTTAATTAAAGACATGTTATTAGGTGTGAGCATTTTTGTCTGTCCATGGACCTGGCTGGAACAATTTACATGCTTTAAAGGATTCGTTTTAGTCTTAACAAACTCAATTATACCATATATATTTTTTATTACAGATATCAATGTAAAGTTTCTCGGACCCGACCAATTAATTCGTGTTTTGCTACCTGAACCTTTATTGACACTAAAACATAACACTTCATAATTATACTTCAGTTAGCGCCTACATACTATTGTTCAGTCTTAGCCGCCTCTAGTGGACGCATCTACCGATAATTTAATATAACAAATAACATTTATGATATCGATAAATCATTTCTACTAACACCAGCGTCCGACCCAACGAAATCAATTCGAGACCAAAAAACATCCAAAAACGAAGATGACTCTCAATATCTCTGTCCTTGAGATAAACGCGGCGCTACTGGTAAATTACTAAATTACAGAGGCTGGCCGGCTGGCTTACAGATTACATTTGATGGCCTGTCCATCGATTCTTGAGATGTCTATAACATTGTCATTTGATAGTACAAATATTAAAAGGTATTTTCGATCCAGTACTAGATTCGTATCAAATAAATCCTAACATAAAATAATTTGGTGTGACTCGGGTTTCCATAAAAATAGATTAGTTTTTATATTTTCGTGAACATAAAACATAACATACCTGTTATACCCAATGGTATGCTGATCCCATATCGAGTTATAGAATGAAATAAATCTCTTTGGGGGAAAAAAATCCGGCTTATGGCGCCTGCGCAGCCTCTCGTACCAACAAATATACAAAATACACCTTATCATCAATGAATAAGGTCTATTATTCATTGGATTGTTTTCATTATAAATAGTATACATAAATCAAATCTCCTATTCTATGAACGTGTGTGTTTTTACACAAATGTACATAATTAACAAACATAATATATAACCATTATATATTCAATTAACATGACTTTGAATGGATAGTTTAAAAATAAAGAATTTACTTTCACTATCAATTTTGAATTGTCTCCTATGACGAAATATTAATTAATAATAATAATAATTGAATTCATAATAGTGCCATATATATATTGTTTGTTTTCTGTTTAATTCTATATTATTATATGGTCCAATCACAAATGTAATATTTTTTATTCTCTCCGAGCCAGGCAGTCGGCGATATCAAAGTTTTGTTCCGTGAATGGTGTTTTTTATCGCCAATTATGCAGAATGCTCAAATTCTATAATTATAGTCAAGTTTACATCTAAACGCCACCGTTTCTAATATGGAATCAATAGACTATTTATTTCGTTGTGACTGTATCATTTATTCTTAATATATATTTATAGTATTGTATTTAATTTAATAAATATTTTGTGAATGTTATTACAAGTTAGTTATAAACATGTAATTTTTGAGTGTCATGTATGTAACTGCGTCATCTTAACTTGTACGTGATGTAAGTTTTCCTACTAAATACCATATTTTTTTTATTGATATACATATTTATATGAAAAATTTTACAATGAACAAATTTTAGTCTTTGAAATTATCTTCTCACACATACGGTTCCTAAACTCAAAACCTCTCACTATCCAATCTAGTATAGAGCTATAACAAAATAAAAAGAACAAGTCGATTAATTCGAATAATCTCTGATATCTGATGTTCGTTCGTTTCGAGAGCTTCGTTTCCACTTGTATAGTATTTATTGTGAGCGATAATCTTTGAGACGAGGATGGTTCATTGTCCAGGTTGATTGACGCCCCAGCTGGTACCTTGGACAGCTTTTGAATAAAGCTACGTGGGTTGTTGTTAATGCTTTACAAGTTCACGACCATACAACACATACCTCGTCTATATACACATAAAACTTTGATTCTTAACATATCAAGAGGTCTCTGTTAATCGAGAACTCTTAAAATAAGCTATAAAATTATAATTGACTTATAAATTATAATTCTTATAAAGTATAATGTAACAAGTCTTTCGCGAGTATTCATTTAAATGAAAATAATAATTTTAATTGTAAAAAGACTACATACTCCCGACGTGTTGTATACTTTTCATCCACTGATCGTGTAGTTTTTTACAATAATAAAGTACGCGTAGTATATTCAAAAGAAAATTATATAATGTACACTATAGTATTTACTTTTTAATAACTAAATCGCTTTCTTACTCACTACTATGTATATACATTGAATAATTTATTCTGTACATAGTTTTGTAGTCGCCTCCTAATTCTTGAGTGTTTTGGGATGAAATCCGTCCGTCAGTTTGATTGACGGCAGGCGCCAGGCCGGAGATTATACAATGCTTGAACATGTACACTATAAATGATATTATATGTATGATCAAAAAAATATAAAGGAGACTTATATATGTATATAAAAGCATAAATATACATATGACCAAAAAACATAAGGGAGATTTATATATGTATATATTTGCATATAAATTATCCGTTACAACTTAAAAGCATATATATATTTGTTTTATATATGTATGTATCATATAAAATTCTTGTAGTATGTATATTTTTAATGTAAATCTTGATATACTCGATAGTCCAGTGTCCATCTCTTCTCACAATGGTGTTCATTAACAGACTCCGGACCCAGACCGAATCCTTTCGTTAGACCTTCATTGTTGGCTTTGAATGCGGACCTTAAAAAAAAAGGTTATTTATAACAAACGAAAAGGTTCACGTAATATTAAACGAGATTCATCTTAATAATGTGTGGCTTTAAATATATATGACTCTTTATAATTAATATATATATTATTTTCGTTTTAAGCTTTATTTTTTTTAATTATTTTATTGGGAAACAAACAGCATATACACATCATAATATTTTTCACATATTAAAAATAATTACATAAGCCAACAAAGTTTCCACTTTTCCACAGTTTCATGGAGTGAATATAAAAAAAAATACTTATAATTATCAGAATTTAAACATTTTACAATTCAAAGTGAATTTAAGTATAAGAATTATTTAGGAGATTTTTCTTTAACGATCGAGTGAATATATATTTATCGAAAGGTGCATCATAATATATAAGCTTTTTACATTTATATATGTAATTTATAATATTATATAAATTGTAATATAAAGGTATTATTGAAAGTATTCAAACGACCGGTACATATTGAAACGAGTCTGGTTAACATAGACGTACAAATATTTATAACAAAATGTGTCCTCGATATGATGTGTTATAGAGCAACTATTACTTTTAATTAATATATATGTATTTTATTCATTTTTTTTGGATTTTTCTGTAGTTTTTTCTAATAATTTTACAATAATCCAATATGTATTGAAATGTTTTTAAATTAATTATATTTATTAGTCGTAAAAACCACAACCAATCCTAAAGATTGATACTATATTTTTTATCTCTATCCATTATAATACATGTTTTAAGGCAGATCGTTTAATAAATTTGATTTGTCTTACTCATTCGTGAGCGCCAAGCGGTGTCTTCAAAGCCGGCCTTGTCTTATCTGTTTGACACTTATTAAATCCTTTTAATTAGTTGAGTGTACCGGAGTCACCTGCGACCGGTCCACACCCACGTATAACGCATTTAATTTTGCGATATTTTGTAAGATTTGGTCGAGATTATAATCATTTTAATCAAATCTTATTTGGGAATTCGCGATTTTTCTTATAATAATTTATTGTTTACCAAAGACATTTTAATCTCGTACGCCCTCATGAAGGTAAAATAATTGAAACGTCAGAAAAATGTATTTTCATTTTGAATTCTTCGCCAAATTCTCAGATGTCAGTACTCAGTAGTAATCGTTCTGTTTCATCTTAAAATTCTAAGTATTTAATATTAAAATATAGTTAGTGGGTTGGTATTTCAGGAATTTCCCAATGACTATTGTGAAATCTAATAACTGAACAATGTTGCTTGTCGAATATAATATACAAATACATTTCTAAGTAACTTGTACTTACAAACGTTAAACGTACCCTTTGATTGTGATTCCTTAAACTTCTAAACTATTATTATTCTGTTCTATCTTCTATGTTGTCCGTAGACTTGTAGTAATTATTTTTATATTTCGTACTCCTGTACCAAAATACACGTCTAGATTCCGCGACGTCTCGCTGGGTCGTCGAACCCGCAGCACTTTAATGACACTCATTTTAACTCCACTCGTGACATATCATCAATGAATGTATCATTTCACTATCGTTAAATCGATTGCTACTCACCTGTTATTATATCGATACATCGAACACAGAAACATCCATAATATAGAATACTAGCTTACCGCCCGCAGCTTCGCCCGCGTGGAGTTCGGTTATATCGCGTTTCCAAGAGAACCTTTCAAAAGTCTGGGATAAAAACTATCCTATTTCTTTCTCAAGGTCAACTCTATCTCTGTACCAAATTTCATTAAAATCAGTTCAGTGGTTTAGGCGTGAAAGCGTAACAGACAGGCAGACAGAGTTACTTTCGCATTTATAATATTAGTAGGGATTACAGAAAAGTATTTCGAACGCTCTAAAAATTCTGATGTTATTTTAGTAACGAATTGATAAATTACATATACGATTGTTTATTGGGATGTATATTTTTTGTCTCTGTCGTACGTGTGTGTATGTTGTATGTGAGAGTGGAAGGTGTGTGTTTATCGGTGTGCTGGTAGGTTCTGATGGTGTGAAGTCCTGTGGCGTACAATTACCCAGCCGGCGGTGGTCGTGGTCGCGGCGCCTGCCCCCCTATCGGTGCTCGCCATCGATAATGGGAACCGGTTCGTGTTTCGTGTATGGCTCGGATCCTTCATACATAACCATCAGGGATACCTTTTATATTACATGAGATTTTTATTCGAATGCTCTTTAAAGACACCGCGTTTTTTATATACAGTTTTTGGTGTTTAAAGTTTATCTTAATTTAAAGACATTTACATGTATAACATTTATTTGTAATTGCTTATTACTGTATACAAATTCTTTATTGATCCCACATACAGTATTCACATCGAAGATTTGCAACATATATATGGTAGTACAAACTGGTCTCAAAGTGAATCCTTATACGATATGAGTTATCGCATAACATTCGTATTGAGTTATTTTTCAACGTTTTATTAACAATACAGGATAAATCACAGTCATTAGTCATAACTAAAACAATTCCTCGACTGCCAATGAGCGATTCATACGGCCGTGGAATACGTAACGTTTAAAAGGCCAATTAAAACTATTAAATCCCAACCGCTTATGTCACATCATATTCTAGTGATGGCTATAGCTGTGTAGAATTTTATTCTCAAAATAGTTTATCTGGTACATGAGGATACGATCTCAAACTTTTCCGTGACTATAGCAGGTATATATTTTTTTATGTCCTCTCTAAGCACAGAAGCGTCTGTTCTCACGTGACCTCGTTTGCAGGCCGTGAGATAATCGCGTACACCGGTGTCCAAGCACGTACTACCCTCCATATTAGTAAGGATATATATTTTTTTATTAATCGCCAACAGGCTGAGAGTAGCGTTCACTCGGAGAGAATGGTCATGTCGTATGTGTTATTAAATACATAGTTTTTATTCATGTACTCTGAGATAGTGGAAAATGTAAGTTGCCTTATAGAATTGTCACTGCGTTGGACCTAATGAGAAATTTAATTATATATATACGTATATGTGTGTATGATATTATGTAACCATTTAGTATAAAACTGACGAATATATCAGTAGTTTATAGTAGATGAAACTATTTTTATAAAAGTTCGCGCGCGCTATATCACCTCCATCTCGCACGTTTTGTATGTTTTGGGTCGTTTTGAATTTAAATCAGTGGAGGCAATAAAACTCACCGAACTGGGAACTGTTACGTCATAAAAGTCGAGCTGGTGCGTTACTGTGAAATATGTTTAGTTAGGCAACGAGAACAACAAGAGTAAGGGACGCGGCGCCAGTTGACCGGCCGATGGACTTTTGAGAACTTGTTATTTTTTATAATACTCTTGTACCAATACGGGTCGTAAGGAAAGTGCGGACGGATCGCAATCTGTTCGACAATTATATAATTCTAATCGCAGCGACGCTTCAATATGTGCATGAACTGTCACTATAAAACAATGAACACGTACCCAACACATTCACTGGAATATAATATTTCCTTGTTCCTATAAACCGTAATAAAATGTCTCTGAGCGAGCTGGCGGGTATTTCATCGCATAACAAATAACATTCAATATATTTCATTGCCATATTGACGCGTAGCATTTTTTTTTATACCTGCCACGCGTTAATGATAAATAGCTTTAGAGTCGACCAGTGAATTATAAGGCAGCCGTTTTAGGTATGCCATAAATGCTCATATGGCAGCCCGGAAGCTCCGTACCCTCGCAAATCGTTTCTGTTGGTCGGGTTCTTATGAATTATCCAAGTGCCGTGCGCGCGCGCTGCCGTCAGCCCGGCGCCTGCGCCCGCGCAGCCAGCGGCCCACTGTAAACACTCGCACTGATAATAAACTCTCGAGCATGTCTAGAGACTGCAGCATCACATCTGTCAGCGGTCATATACAGATCATAGTTTTATCCATTAACATTTATAATAACCAGCCTCTCCCAAGTCCCATATATTATACCTAGGTATATAGTTGTTTAGTATATTCGGTTCTAGTGTTACAGCTGATCGCGTAACAGGCACGTATCGACACGTTTGTATAGTAATTGTAATATAATATATTCGACCTTACAATGAATGGTATCTGGATATTGTTTTTGTATCAACGAGTTTCCTTAAACGGTGCTACGGCTTGTACGGGTATAGCTTTGTGTACACAATGTTGCTCGGCGTATACTTTTTCTTAAATAATTTATAATATATAACTTAATACTTCCAGTTCTGCAAACGTTATATTTTATTATTATTATATTTAACTTGTTACAAAAGTCTAGTTTAGGTATGGATACCTTATTTTCTCTTAAAATTGTATTTTTAGTTAATAGTAAAATTCCTGTATCTATGACACATGCAAGATTTCAATATTAAGATTTAAATTTATCTTTCATTATCTCAAAGTTAGATAAGTTTTTTTTGCAAATATGTTTTATATTTTAACTTTGATTAAAATGTACCAGCTGACGTAACTTTTTGTTCAATACAAACATACTTTTCACTATTAATATTTTATTGTTTAATTTTGTTTATTTTTAGTTGCGTCTTATAGTATATACATTTATTTATATGGGTTGCGTTATCTGTTATAATTTACAAGTTAGCTCCGTCTCATTGATAGTAGTTCTGATGTCACAATCGTAATTCATATTTTATATATCGTCGCCTCTATATTTGTAGCGTCCATTGAGGAACGTCGACCCTAGTTTACAACATTGTAAAACGGTCTAATACTGTTAAGTGAAACTATTATATACTGTTTTTTTTTTTTTCATACATCTATTGCATGTCGTGTTACAGCATGTAGATGAGTACATAGATATAGTTGAATAAATCAATTGAAAAAGCTTTTTATAATTGATCTTTAATGACTATTCCGATTTTTATACAATTATTATTGTAACTTTATTTTCATTTGACGTGTCGAATATTTTTGAGGAATTTTTTGAAAGCCAAAGAAACTAAAATTTATTAGCTAGGTTCCTTAGCATAGGCATTTCAACAACAATACACTTTTTAACAATGATATACTATGATTGTTTTATCTTTTAAGTTCCTTATAAAAATACTTCAAATAATAAGGTTATTCGGTTATTTATAAATTCACCTACGACTAGATTTGTATAAAAGTAATAATAAATCAATTTTGTTTAATCTGTCAATCGCATTATGGGTATTATTTTATGGCTACCCGCAATGCTAGTCCAATGTGGGCTGGTGGCTACACAAGCCAGCTCTTTCAATGTTTTTTTTTACAAAGACCAACTTGTTAGATGGAAATCAAATCTGAAAACCAATGTGCAGATTCTAGAATTTAAACTTATTTCCCAAACTAATTAAATTTTGTACATCAAACGACAAATACGATATTATTAACAATATTTATTCCATCAATGAAATGCTTTTATATATGTACATACTAGAAGACCCGGCGAACTTCGTATTGCCCTATAATCATGAAATATCTGTTACGTTTTTTATTTATATTTTTGGAGTTTACCTATAAAAGCCATAAATCTCCGTGTTTTGAAGTACGACAGAATGATTGACATATTAGTTAGTTGTCAAATCTAATGTCAAAAAACGTTTGTATCAACAACTACCTACCTACTAATAAATTAAAAATTAATTAAAAAAAACATTGTCCAGCGGACAAAATTGTGAATCTAAACCATTCCCAGATCCCCTTGAACACACACAAAATATTTCATCAAAATCAGTCAAGTCGTTTGAGAGAAGTTCAGTGACATACACACTCACAGAAGAATTATATATATAGATCTAAATTAATTTTGAGTGAAGGTGTTGAACAGACTGACTCTCTATATACAATGTAACTATAATAAAGGTCGCTCTGTCCGTCTGATGAACTGGTCAGAATCTGTTTGTATACACGTTACACGGAATCGTTATTCACAAAGGGCTCGGGTCTTTGATGTCAGGAGACGGGATGACGTTTGTTTGAATGTTTGTCTGTTAGCCGTTGTACCTTAACAGTAATGCTATGTATAGATACGTAAACAATACTTGGTTTATATACCAAATATTTCTTTTATATTAGATTTATAAAGAGTATGACAATTATGATTGAACTTTAGTAATGGAACAACCCCATTAAAAGATATTAAAAGGTTATATTCTAACAGCTTTATAAACAATGTTTTTGCTTAAAATGCTTTTTAATTATTCTTTGTTAGACGAAGAATAGAAAATAAACGAATAAGAAAAACAAATGGAAGCTTCGTATGTTTAAATCCATAACAAAATCTTAATATTCTCTACATACATAATAAATGTTCATAATTGTCCAATTAACGTACAAATCATCAAATTTTGAAATACCTCCATTAATTAGTGGATTCTGAAGTTATCGTACGTCATAAAGTGGGCATCGTGGGCGTAGTGGGCGTTGTGGTCGTCAGCTAACCTCTCGATGTACCAACATCTCATAACGGTCAACGGTCACATCAAATACAAATTACAAATATCCATTAATTGGTTTGACGGATTTGAAATTTAAATGAAGCATTCTTAGTTATCAATCCGTTTTATTGGTGAATAAATATATAGAATTCCATTAGTCGTTTGGTTGCATAATGGATTACTCGGTCACTCAGATTCTTAGTTCACTGTTACTCAGTTACTCAGTTGCTCGATTGCCAAGTACTGTTTTAAATGTCAACATATAATTGATTATTCGTTGACTCCATCTTAGTCAAACAAAACTGCCTTACATCTTAATTTTCAGAAGAAAATGTTTTATATGTGTATTTTTGCATTTAATTCTATAGTGTAAAATATAATACATATATGATATGACTATGTCAGTGGATGTACATATATTGATATAATATATTAATAAAGCATTATAATATACTAGCTTTCCGCCGCCGCTTCGCCCGCGTGAAGTTCGGTTATATCACGTTTCCAAGAGAACCTTTCAAAAGTCTGGGATAAAAACTATCCTATGTTCTTTCTCAAGGTTAACACTATGTCTGTACCAAATTACATTAAAATCAGTTCAGTGGTTTAAGCGTGACAGCGTAACAGACAGACAGACAGAGAGACAGACAGAGGTACTATCGCATTTATAATATTAGTAGGGATATTTTAGAACATAGTAATGGTTTTCATAGTGATCGGCTGTATATCGTCTACTCGGTGTGGTGTGTGTGTGTGTCTGTGTGTCAACAGTAATTAGAGGGATGCGTCTAGATTAACAAAATCAGGACGCGTACATTATAGAATTTGATTATAATGACTCCCACGGAACACTGAATGGACCGCTACCTGCGGACCTGTGTGGAATAGATAATACACACACACACACTAGGTATATATCATCTATATATATACGCACACACGCACATACACACACATACATACGTATTCATGACATCTAAGACTTTCGCGAGTATTCATTTAAATGAAACTAATATTTTCGGATTATACTCCACGTCTAATATTATTGTAAATCAACATAGTCCCGACGTTTCAGTTACTTATCAGCAATCGTAATCACGGACAGATACATAAAATACGCGTAGTATAATCCGAAAAATATAAGTTTCATTTATATACGTATTAATGATGCTGGGGTTGTGCGGGCGCATGTGTGGGATATTACTATGAAAATAATTATAAAGCATTATTTTAATTGAGATTTTATAACGTGGGCATTCACAATGTCACATGATATGTTTGTTGATATAATGATTATTTTAGATTTTGATGTCGTAACAATAAATCATTGTGAAACTTTTATTTTATCTTGAATTTTATTTGGTAACTGTATTCATCTCCCCCTCGTGCAAGTT